CAGTATTCTATTTTAACCAAATACAAAGACTCAGGTACTATCCTGAACTTATTAGGAGAACCTACAAATACACAACTCAGTAGTCGTTGGTCTTTGGTTGCTGCTGTTGTTAATCTTGGCATAAAAAACATTATCTTTCTGCTTAGTAAACAATAATGTGGGTGTATTCGTGAAGAAGTTATTTTCTTTAGGAAACAATTTTTGATACACATCTGAATTTCCTTTCTAGTTCTCACTATCCTTTTCCAGCCTTCAGAATCTCAGACTGGAGTTAAAATTCCTTTTCGTATTATTTTAATTATTGTTCTCCCCACCTCCACCCCTTTCCTGTTTCCCCCTCCTCTTTTCCCCTAACGGGACTGTTCTGCAAAGCCTGCAATGATTGATATGATGGCAGTGCTGTCATTCTTTTTAACCAAAAAAAAGTCATTTTTGTTCTAGTTATTTTAATAGAGTCCCATTAAAGATGTATTGCTGACTGAAATATCGGCATGAAGGGCTCTCACTGAGCTGAGCCCAGGAATTAAGAAGTCAGGAAATCGGCTGCTGCATTGCAAGAGAGCCTTGTGTGACACCGAGTCTCCTGATTGGGGAGATCATTACTGCTATTATGACTCGACTTGCGTAGGAATTTTAAATTCCATCTGAATGTCAGTAATAACCCTCTTAGCAAATTATCCTGAATAAAATCACGAAGGCATTTTATATAATAGGTGTTGAATTACTGGATAGATTTGCTAATTAAATACTCTTTGTTCTGCTGCAGTTGACATTACAGGGTAAGATCTTGAACAATTATTCTCAACAGCTGTACTTTGTTAAGGGAAAAATTAACCACAAAGTTTATTTTTTTACACTTGAAGTTGGCAGATTTTTGAAATGTGCTTGAAAAAATTCCATCATCCAATTGGTAATGAGTAGATAAATATGCAGGTGTTGCTGTGAAATCAGATAACTGCAGACTGCCTTATTAATGAATTTAGTAAGCCTTTATAGCCCTGTTTTCTAGCCGTTGGCACGTATAAAATGATTTTCTGTCAGAATGGGCAGCTTTAATATTAGACTTGTCACTTCAAAGTAAACTTATGAATGGTCATCTTGTAATCATTGTACCTTGTGTCTAGTAGACCTTTCTAGGTACTTGTGGTTATTTTTAAAAATGTGTTTCTTTAATGGGGAAAATACCTGTAATGTATAAGTTTTTGATTATTGGCTTCTAGAACATTGATGTGATTTGAATTTTTGAGTTTTTTTTTTTTTTTTAAAGAAGGTAGTGGGACATAATGAAAAGAAAATGAAACATAAAGTCCAGCTTCTAGATCAAGCTCTTGGGCAAAATCTTAGAGCCTGATTTTTCTCATCTGTCAATTGGGACTTATAACATTGTGTACCCCCTAGGATTATTCACTTAGCATTCTATAAATATTTATTAACAGCTCCCATGTACCAGACTCTCTGTTAGATACTAAGAATTTGGTAGCTCCCTGGGTATCCAACAGCTGAGCCCTACCCAGTGAGCAGTTTGAATTGAGGGCAGCTTTGGAGTGTTTCTGCTCATTAGCACTTGGATAAGCATTGGACTAGAGAGGACACTGTGATACCCGCCATCTAGAACTGCTTAGTGAAGAAGCATGAGAGGTTAGGGGTCAGACTGGCTCTGGGTTGTCTTGTATAGAATGGGCTGAAGAGTCGCCAAACTGTGGTGAGGACCTTGAACCTGAGACAGAACATTATCATTAGCTACTGGTGAGGTCCACTGAAAAGATGGTGAGGTCCACAGAAATCGGTACAACCTCTGTAGAGAGCTATTGGGTATTATTTACTTTTAAAAATTTGAAACATACAACCTTTGACCCAGTATGTCTACTTGTAGTAATTTTTCGTGTTACTAGCAAATTTGCAAATTACACATGTATAGGGATTATTTATTGAAGTACAGTTGTAAAGAGTAGAAATAACCCATATGTTCATTAATAGAGCACAAGTTAAATAAATTATATTCTATTTATACAATGGAGTACAATGTAGTCATTAAAAAAGAATTAAGGCAGCTCTTTATGTGTGGATTTTAAATAACTTCTAGGTTAAGTGCTAGGTGAAAAAAGCAGTTGCAGCTTAATCTATTTACCATTTCTGCAAAAAAGACATCCACCAAAAGATTTCTGCCACCAAAGAGAAAATCGTTTTGGTAGCAGTCCTCAGGTTATGCATGGAAATGGTTGTGAGTTGGTGGCGGGATGGAGTAGGGGTGGGTGATAGATCTGAAAGGTGAAGGTTGCCAGTTCACATTGAAAGTACATTCAGGGATGACATAGTAGGTTTGGTTCATGTTATGTAAGAAGAGTAGATGAAATTGGTTATTGAATATGTGGAGTTGTAGTAAAAGGTTGACAAACTGTTCCTGAGGTTTACTGAGGTAACAGTTACGTTATGGTGTTGTCTGTTGTGATGAGGAAAGCTAAACCTCGCTAGGTGGAAGAGGCAGAGAGTAAAGACGACACTTGATAAGTAGTTCTGTCCTCACTATGATTAATTTGCCTTGGATTGATCTCATTATTGCCCTTTCCCTAAAGGAATTGTCAAGTATTCTCCCACAATGTATTTCCCTGTAATTTAAATGTTAAAAAATGAAGATGAAGTTGGGTAGAGTGAATGTGTTTTATAAGTTAGCTGAATTTTAGTGTCTAGTGGAAAAGTAACTGGGATTACTACAGAACCTATCAGTCACCTGGCAGACAGTTTATTGAGTGCCTGTTATATGTGAAGTCTGTAGTTAGGCACAAACATATGGTCTGACCTCCAGGAGCTTCTAGTCTAGTTTGGGGTGGGTAGGTGGGAGCTAATAACATAAAGGATCATTCAAGTACTAGTAGAATAATGCAAACACGGATGAGAGGAGAGAGACAGGTATGGGCTGGGCCAGTCAACTCATGCAAGAAGGATTGTAAAATTCATTGATAGGAAGAGGACTGGGGAAGGAATTCCAGGTAGGGGGCACACTGCGTGAGTGTAGGCATGAAAAAATGAGTCTGTACACAGTTAACTGTTGGAAGACTGGGGAGATTTATTCTGTCCTCCAGCAACAGGATCTATATAAAAGAATAACAGGCCAGACAAGTGGAATAGTGGTTTAGGTGCAGTTGCAGAATTTGGTCTTGATCTTGTAGGCATCCAAGAGGCATTGAAAACATTTAAGAGATTGGTAATGATATTCAGGGTGAATTAATGAGACCTAAAGCCAGTAGAGATGTGAGCTGGTTCATTCTCAGTGACAACCGCATTGCCATGGAGTCAGGCACTTTCCACCTTGCAGCTGGCCCTGTTCAGCATGTTAGCTTGCACCCTAGGCATGGCCCTTCATGGCCACAGTGGTAGTTGCTGCTGCTCCAAGCAGCCCTCAGTCTAAAAAGGTAGTCCCCCCGCCCCCTCAAATCAGGAAGGAAAACCTTTCACAGAAGCATTCTACAGGAATTCTTACTTTTAATTGGCCGGGATTCTGTTCACATGCACATGCCTATACTGATCACTGCTTCCAGAATGGAATTATCATGATTATCTTAGTCCAGTGGTCCTTAACCTAGCTTGCAATGTAAGAAAACTGTTGGGGCCAGGTATTGGTTGCTGTTGTATATTTTTTAAAAAATATCCTCAAATAATTCCACTGTACAGTCAGTATTAAAACCACTGGTTTAGCCTAATCAGAATTGAATTCACCACCATCCACCACCCCCAGGGCAGGAGAAAGGGCTTCCTTGTCTAAGAATATAATATTAATACAATGAACATCTGAACAAAATTGGGAGATAGTAATAAAGGGGAGAGGGCAATAAAAAATAGAAAGTAATGGGTAGATATAAGATAAAGACAGGATTTACAAAGCTCTATAATAGGGAAAATAAGAAAAAAATGACACCATGAAGCTTGAGCTTAGTTGACAAGGTGGACTACTGAAGTAGGAAAAAGAAGTATAAATGAAGTAAATCTTTATCTGATTTATTAGAAAAGTGACCTCAGTTTTAGGCTGATGCTTTGAAAGATAGGTGATAGCAGAGAGGCAATAGCATGGAGTGACTAAGGCCTGATACTCTGGAGTCAGAATGCCTGAGTTCATATCCTTGTTTTGTCTTTACTAGGACACTAATTTCTCTGTCTTTTAGAATCTAATGAAAGAGGATATTAACAGTAGCTACCTCTTGGAGATCTAGGGGAATGAAATGAGAAAATTCACAAGGTGTTTCTTGCACAGCATCTAGCACATGTATTTTAAACTCTCTCTCTCTCTCTCTGAGTCCTAATTATGTCATATTACTATTTTTTCAGAGGTTGTATTTTGTTGAATATGTGTTACTTCTTATCTGGCACAAAATAATTTATATCAGTTTTTATTTCTTATCCACGCTGTAACCTGAATATCTCTGATATGTAGCTATGTGGGCCTGGGGACAGACCCATCTATGGATATTATCCATGTTTGTCTTCATTCACTGAATGTTTCTTGAGACCCACCTTTTTACTGGGTACTGTGGTAGCTCCAGGCAATATAGTCTACTCTGTCTTCAATGAATTTAGTCTAGAGAAGAATTTTAAATGTGCTTTTTTTTTTTTTTTTAACTTTTTAAGATCCTGAATACCATGAGTAAGAATTGCCAGATTTGAAATGCTTTGTTAAGCTTTTTTTAGGCATGCAGCTCTATTTAAGTATTAGTAATGAGAATAGTTTGCTTTTTTGCCATGTTATAGTGATATTTTATTGTGTGTCTATTAAAGATATATGTTTGTATATATGCATCCATATCTCTGGCTAAGAATCAGCATAGAGGCACACTTATTTTTAGATTATATTGATGTTACTTTTTTTTAAGGGCTGTTGTTAGAAGACCTTCAAGAGCTTTAGAAATACATGGAAATGGCAAATCATTGAGTGTTATCTATCTCTGTGTGCTTCTATTTATGTCTTTATAATTGTGTAATGTATTAATCTTGACTTTTGTTTCATTTAGATTTTGATGCATACAAAAGAGATGGTACAAAAGGTAATGTTGAGCATTTTCATTGTATAAAACTCTTAAATATCGTAACTGGCAATGTTTTTGTATTCAAGGAATATTGTAACCCAAACAGACTGGAAATTGCTTCTTAGGTTGCCTAGTTTACATTTATAATCCCTCCTAATGGATTACAGCTTTTTTCTTTTACCAACACTGATATGATCTAGCCCCTGCTTGAAGCCTATATGTGAGTGTTTCAAGCAAATTAGTAACAGTGCTAATTAGAGTTTATTTCCAGGCCTTTATACTGTATGTGCTCTAGTGTTGTTTGTTATGATTGATTTTTTTTGGCACTCTTCATATTCTACTAAATACTGTTTGCAACTGTATTAAGAATTTAATATGGATTTGTGCCTCTGAATTTATAGAATCCATTATGTTTCTGCTTCTTGAATTGCCATGACCACTAAGCATGTTGTACGGTGGATAAATATAGACCCCCGTATCCTAGTCTTTTATTCTCCTTTTTCTTATCATTTAATTTGGTATTTTGTTTCAGCTGAAACTAGACACATTTCCCCTTCCACTCTACTCTCTGTTTTAAGAAAATTTGAGAGATATTCTTGATGTCAGGGTGCTTGCCTTTCTGGTTTATAGGGGCTTAATCGTCAATTGTATACCCTGATAATATGAATAATAATTAACATAAACGTTTGAAAAGTTTGGAGCCTGTAATTTCTATAGTATGGAAAATCTTTAGTTTCATTGTATGTAATGGTCACTGTGTTTTTGTTGTTAATTTTTATAATTTTTGCTTTTCATTAGATGAATCTTGAAGTTATTTATGGAGATACAGATTCCATTATGATAAACACGAATAGCACCAATTTGGAAGAAGTATTTAAGTTGGGAAACAAGGTGAGAAAATTTTATGAATTTTCTGCTTTACCTACTTTTGTGAATTCTGTTTTTAACATGGAACACTATAAATTCATGAATGTGCATGTATATGCTTCTGAAAATAATAAACTTGGTGTCTCTCAATTCTTCAGTCTCTCTTATTTTTCTTTCTTTATTATTTTTTTCTGAGATAGAGTCTCACTCTGTTGCCTAGGCTGGAGTGCAGTGGTGCGATCAGGGCTCACTGTAGCCTTGACCTCCTGGGCTCAAGTGATCCTCCTGCCTCAGCCTCCCAAGTAGCTGGGACCACAGGCACTCGCCACCATGCCCAGCTAATTAAAACAATTTTTTTTTGCAGTGATGTGTTCTCACCATGTTGCCCAGGCTGGTTTTGAACTCCTAGGCTCAAGTAATCCTCCTGCCTTGGCCTCCCAAAGTTCTGGGATTATGGGCATGAACCACCACGCCCAACCCTCTTGTTTTTAATTTCTGTTCCAGCTGTTTGTTTGGAGGGTGAAATTCAAAGGTAATTTTTTTCTTTAAATGGTAGATAAACGTTTTTCCTTTGAAAACAGTCTGTTACATATGTTTAAGATGTATTCACATTAGTACTTCCTACATTGTGATTCATATGTCTGGTAGGATTCAGATGCATTTTATATGTAAATACCTACATACATCCATATACACTCACAACTGTAATTTTTACAGGTGTACTTAAAATATATTTGAAAAGACAAGGGGGCATTTTAAAATAATCATTTGTAGCTTCTTAGTAGCAATTCACAATAACAATTCGCAGTTTTAGAAACACTTGCTATGTTAAGATATTGTCCCAGTGAACTAAAACAGAGATATCATCTTGGAAACTAACAGCTTTCTATGGAAATATGTGGAATTTGAATGGTAGTCTTCACCTGACAGCAAGCCTGGCATATTGTACTCATACTGGGCCTTGAAAAGTTATATATTTTCCCTGGAGGCAATGGCCTGTAGGGGACTATTTATTTGCTCAGCATGTAGTTGTTTGCCTATAGTCAAGGTGTTAATGGAGGTCTTAGACATTATTTTTATAATCAAAGTTTTACTTCTTTATTTCTGGCCACATATTTACTTGTTGGACTGTATTCGCTAACTGAATAGTTCAAAGGCAAGTACTGTACATATGTATTAAGTCTTTACGTTCAACAAGGACTGTTCCATAATTTTCATATATTACCTGTGGCTGATGCATGCAGTCCTGTCCTTTAGTTGCATGGGATGATATATTATTGATATATTGATATAATGATATGATTATTATCTCTCTCTTTTTTTAAATCTATTTTTGTTCCTGCATTTTTCAATGTCTTTGTTTTATACCCAATGTAATATCATGTTACATATAAGCCGAGTAAAATTGCAATATTGTATGACTTCATGTTGTTTAGATTAACTCTTGGGAATTTGTAACATGTTTATCTTCTCCTTGTTAGATGTTTGAGAAGCTAATATTAATATTTGAAATTTTCACAGGTAAAAAGTGAAGTGAATAAGTTGTATAAACTACTTGAAATAGACATTGATGGGATTTTCAAGTCTCTGCTACTGCTGAAAAAAAAAAAATATGCTGCTCTGGTTGTTGAGCCAACATCGGACGGGAATTATGTCACCAAACAGGAGCTCAAAGGATTAGATATAGTTAGAAGAGATTGGTGTGATCTTGCTAAAGACACTGGAAAGTGAGTTCAGCTTTCAGTTTTGCTGTTCTTGTTTGTCTTGTAAAAATTCACATGTGAATGATGTAGAGAATGCTCATGAATCTGCCAAGCACAAGAACACAACTTCTTTGTTATTTTTATTATTATCAACCTTACTAAGAATTATTAATAATTCTTATTTGGAATGGAATTTTATAGGTAGATTAAAACTTAGAAAAAGCCAAATTCGCTCAGTAAGAAATGCTTGCTATAAGATACATCTCATGAGTTTTTAACTCTTGGTAAGGGTAAACCTTCACACTTCAGATCCTTAGAGTTGATTTCGTTGATGTTCATTTGTTTTGCTTTAATGTCGCTATTAGAAAGTGCCTTGTTTTGTGCTCCTGAATCTTGCTACATCTTCTTTAGGAACATAATTGTTAAGATTTTCTCATTTTATGGCTTAAAATGTTCTGGGATTCAAAGTGGGCCATGGAGTGAGACTTTGTTCCCACCCATATGATTTGTATATAAAAGATTATTATTAATACCAGGTTAATTTAAGGGCTAGTTCTCAAATCCTATGTGTACCTCAGAATTAGTAAATGTCATGACTGACCTCCTAGCTTTGCACCTGAGACTGAAGAATGTGATAATAAGACCTGCTTTTTAAAGGATCATATTAATGTGCAAAGCACCCATTTAAAAATGAAGTTTTAGACTGGGCGTGGTGGTGGCTCATGCCTGTAATCCCAGCACTTTGGGAGGCTGAAGCAGGCGGATTACTTGAGGTCAGGAGTTTGCAACCAGCCTGGCCAACATGGTGAAACGCTGTCTCTACTAAAAATACAAAAATTAGCTGGATGTGGTGGCACATGCCTGTAATCCCAGCTACTGGGGCAGCTGAGGCAGGAGAATCACTTGAACCTGGGAGGTGGAGGTTGTATTGAGCCAAGATTGCACCTTTCCACTCCAGCCTGGGTGAAGCAGCGAGACTCCGTCTGAAAAAAAAAAAAAAAAATGAATTTTTAGGTGCTTTGTGTACCATCTTTCATATACTCCTATTTTGTGACCATGACTAATTCTGAAAGTAGAAGAATGTTTTTCTTTAAAGCTAAATTTCCAAATCAGTTTTAATATTCTGAATATCAGCATTTAAAAACTTGTTTTCCAATCTTCCTCTTGCTGTCAAGTTGGGAAATTAGCAGTTATTGCTGCTGCATAACTACTCTTGATTAGGCAGAGTTGACCATCTGAGTATAGTCCACTGTGAGCCTTTTATGAAATGTAGCTTGAAATGCTTCATTGCCCCCAAATGTACCCAAAGAAAAAAGTACTTTGTATAGACTGTGGATTAGCGTCTTCTCTTCAGCTTTTGTGTTTTCTAAGAAAAGATGCATCATAATAGAAGTAAATTTCTCTGCGTTAGAAATGTATTAGTAATTAAAGCTATACAAATGTTTTTGTCAGGGTTCTTTTTCTGACAAATTATAATGCAGCTGTCAAACCCTCGCTCTGCATTTTCTCAGAAATGGATAAAATATTGGCTTTCTTACTCCTTTCCTTTTACTTTTTCCTTTGGGTTTGGTTTTTAAGGGATAGCATAAGGGAAATAACTGAGCAATAAAATGAAGGTGAAGAAAGAAAAGTTTGAAATCTTTGTTTTTTAAAAAAAAATTTATGTAAAGGGCTTCATATTTCTACTCACCTAGCTCATGGTTGCTCATCCCAGGTGGAGATGATGTCTAGATATCAGAGGTAATGTGTTGGTTCTTTGTGAGGAAAGTGAAATATTTGTCTTCTAAAATTTTAACTTATGGGTAGAATATAACTGTGCATTTTGTAATTGCATAAAAATGTAAACATAAAAATGGAACGCATACTTCATCACATTTTATATAAAATATTAGCCGCCACATAAAAATGATCTGTATGTTTAGGGTCAAACTTGACATTACAAGGCTGGCAAACTTTCAGTAGAGTTGGTGTTAAAAAGCAAATAGTAACTCCCTTTTTGACATTAACCCTCATATTAGCTCTTAGTGTAGCTCTTTGCCATGTGTTAATCTAATGGCATTTCTCTTCCTTTCTTATTCTTTACTAGTAAAATATGATATTAAAAAATCAACTGCTGTCTTTTTTTTTTCAGGTTTGTGATTGGCCAGATCCTTTCTGATCAAAGCCGCGACACTATAGTAGAAAACATTCAGAAGAGGCTAATAGAAATTGGAGAGAATGTGCTAAATGGCAGTGTCCCAGTGAGCCAGTTTGAAATTAACAAGGTAAATGTGGCATTTATTGTTGAGCCCAGCTGCTGTCGTGTGTTTTTCTCCTCCTTCAGATAGTTGAAGAACCACCTCATCCTTGCAATTGAAATAAATTCTAGCTGGTGATGAAAGCTGCTTAACAACTGTGTCACAGATTGAGCACTAGCATACCTCTTCCAGCCACAGGTACAGCCATGTCTGCCAGAAACCTTCTGTCTCTAGTCCTTACTTTAATTCTTGGAAGACTCATTTTCAGAGGCCCTATGGAGTGATATAGTTTACTTATTGGGGACTGGAGAACACTACCTTCTTCGGTCCCTTAAGTAATAGTTGTTTGGGGTGTAGGCCTGTAGGCTTATTGTGTGCATTCATGTGTTTGTTTAACTTCGCAGATGGTGATCCTTAGAGGTGCTGTACTCGGAAGGCTTTTGGGGACATAAGTTATTTAGAAACAGTCTTAGTTGTTGAAAATAGGGAAATATTTTTTCTTACCTAATTTGAAAAACAAAATCTTGGTTTCCAAAGCGCTGTGTAATAAACGAAATGTTAGTTTTTTTTTTTCTATTTAAAAGGAGTACCTTTATATATTCAGAAGCTAATTTTGCAAATACCACACTACCCATTTTGTGGTAGATTTCATTGTCAAAGTGCATACAAAAATTAATGAAAAAGAATCTGATGCTGACACTAAATGGAAGTTTTAGAATGAAGACTCATTCATAATACTCTGCGCTCACGTAATGCCTGTCATTTTTGCACATTTCTGTACTCTTGAAAACATTTTTATATTGCAGCAATTACAATAAGTTATTTAGAAATATATTTTCATTTAACATTTTCCTACATTTTTAGATTGCCTTAAAAATCATCAAATTAGTGTATGAATCTTCTGTTTCATGGATACTTCTTTATTTAACTTTGTTGATTATTAAATATTTTCTATTATAAATTACTATTGAACATCTTTATTTATCTTTTTGCATTTGGATGAATTACTTTATTACTTTAGGTTCCTTGAAGGAAAATATTTGAGTCCAAAGATGTGAATATCTGTATGGCTTTTTCCAAATTGCTTTGTGAAAGGATAATACCAATTGATAATAGCAAAATATGCCAGTTTCACCACAGTTTTACATGTAGTGGTGATGATATTTAAATAAACCTTTGCTACCGTCATGAACATGAAACTGTATTTCATGATCGCATTGAATTTTCATTTCTTTGGTTCCTAGAAATGTTTTCTTACAGTTTATGTTTATTCTTAGGTAAGTTGTTTCCTGTACCTTGACTATGACATCCTTAATATCACAAAAGAAGACATTGGTTTGTACATTAGAAGGGGACAGTGTTTCTTGGCACTGGCTCTCCACTTTAAGTGATGAAGTTTATACATATTGACATAGAATCACTGTGTCACCTGGAAAGTAGTTTTCTTTTAAAGATTTTGTTTAATTTCTTTCTCAAAAATTTATATGAGTAAGAGTTATGACTTAAGTCTTCTTTTGGCCAGTTTTTACATCAGTTCTGCATATTGTATCCTTGATCCTGTCTACCTTTCTAGAAACTTGGGTTTCTATCACAAGGGCTTCCAGGGACGAGTTTGGGAGTCTCAGTCCCAGCATGGCTACGTAATTGGCAAAGTAACACTGAGCACATTTCTTTTAGGATAGTGGACCCACACTATGATCCCCTCATATGAATGATGACACAGTATTACCAGTGTGCAGAAAGAAAGTTAGAGTCACAGATATACTGACAGTGTCTGGGTTCTAATGAATAGTCTGCATTCTTTCAAGTTTTTATTATTGAAATTTCTAGAGTTCTGTAAAAGTAGAGAGGATGGTATCATGAATCCCTATGTATCCATCACTCAGCTTCAATAATTATCAACTTATAGTGACATGTTATTATTACCAATAGCAATAGTAATTAATACTTAGTGTCTAGTGTGATAGAGGCTGTGAATAGATGTTTCTGTGGCAAAACTGAAAATGTGACTTACTGCTTTTGTATTCTCCATATCACTTAGCATAGCTGGTGGCAAATAGTAGTTGTTCATTAAGCATTGAAAGAATTCATTTGCTTGTTTAATCATCCATTCAGCAAACATGGAGTACCTCTTATGTACACAATGCTGATTCTGGGATATAAAGTTGAATAAGGAATGCATGGTCCATATTTTCAAGATGCTAGTGGTCTATTAAAAGTATTTACTCTTGGCCGGGTACGGTGGCTCACAACTGTAGTCCCAGCACTTTGGAAGGCCAAGGTGGGCAGATTATGAGGTTAGGAGTTCGAGATCAGCCTGACCAACATAGTGAAACCCTGTGTCTACTAAAAAAATACAAAAATTAGCTGGGCATGGTGGCACGTGCCTGTAATGCCAGCTCCTCAGGAGGCTGCGGCAGGAGAATCACTTGAACCCAGGAGGTGGAGGTTGCAGTGAGCTGAGATCACAGCACTGTACTCCAGCCTAGGCGACAGAATGAGACTCCATCTCAAAAAAAAAAAAAGGTATTTACGGTCTGTTGAGAAACATTAAGTTTACCCTGCCGCCATGGCTCCTTTGTGGAGGATACCTTTTAGTTTGTAATTAGCGGTAGGCTAATATACTTGGTATATTCTTGGTACCTACTTGGTGTATTCTTGAGTTATGTGTATATGTAGAACACCTGTGTATTAATAAGAATTACCCGTCAAAGAGCAAATAAATATGTGGATGAGAATCTGCTCGGGGCCTTCAGCCTGGAAATGCTGTCAGCCTGTCAGCTCTCAGGCTGTTGGTCCCCTGATAGATCCACTCTGTTGTTCTGTCTGGGTATCTGCCGCTCAACACCTTCAGCCCACCTGGGTGGGGGTCTCCCAGCCGAGCTGGTTGTCGGTAACTGTTCTATATTCTTTCTTTTATTTAGTAGATAAGAATTTCTGCAGTGTGATGTAAGTACAGTAAATTCTATTGAAAGGGCTATCTTTATTATAGTTCTGTATCTATTTACAGTAAGCTATTCATGTGTTAAAGGTGATGTATCCTGATAAACTTTAACATTTGTCTAAACACTTGCACTATTTAAAACTTGTGAGCAGTTCAGTTTCTACATTTTATTGCTTCCAAAAGAGAGTGGACTGGCAGAGTCTGTGTATGTGACTGCTTATGCATGGTCTCATGATGAGATTTTTTTTTTCACTTTTTGTGTTTGATTTTTTTTTTTTTTAGGTGATGCTGGTAGGACTTGAAAATGACAGGTTAGATTAGGGTGGAGACATGCATGAAGTGATGGGATTTACCTTTAGAGATTTTAGCCCTTGTTGCCAAAAGCAACTGAAAAACAGCATGTGTGATTTTGCTGAACTACTGCAATCTTAGCTTAAATATATTTCACAAAGTAACACAAAATACTTCACAGCTGATTTTTATAGCTCTGGCTAACTTGAGCCTAAACCACCAGGAAGCATTTTTTTTTAAATGAAGCCTTCTAAAACTAGCTTGTAAAGTCCCCAAATAGCCTCCATCTAATAATTAGAAAGTATGTCAGCTGAAATTTAGAATTTCTTAACATTGCACTGAAGAATAATCCATTGAAGAAGATAACAGATTCCTTAAGTGCCATTAAATCAGTAAAGATTTCTATACTGTATTGCTTGTCCAAGTCAATCAGAACTTCACATATTCCAAGTTTGAGGAGATTCAAATACTTGGGAGAGTTTCTTAGGTACTTTCCTACAATGAGTATAGAATTTAGTAAGTTTATGTAACTTAGGCATGTGCAGCCATGTTTGAGGACCTATTTTATTCTTCTATATCAGTTATCAGATTTCTTGGTCTTAGGACACCTTTATGTTCTTAAGATAATTGAAGATCCCGGCCGGGCATGGTGGCTCACGCCTGTAATCCAAGCACTTTGGAGGCCAAGGCGGGCGGATCACCTGAGGTCGGGAGTTCAAGACCAGCCTGACCAACATGGTGAAACCCCGTCTTAAAAAATAATAATAATAATTGAAGACCTCAAGAGCTCTTGTTGATGTAGTTTATCTTGATATTTAGTATGTTCGAAATTTAAAAGCATTTGTTAATTTATTTAAAAATAGCATTAAGCTCTTTATATAATTATAAAAAATACCATTTCTTTCTATGAAAAAATATATTTTAAAACAAAGAAAAACTTAGCATGAGGAGTGGTATCATTTTACAATTTTGCACATCTCTTTAATGTCTATCTCAGTAGAAGACATCTGGGTTTTCATTTCTGCTTCTGCATACAATCTGTTGTGATAAGTGGTTTTGGATGAAGTATAGGAAGAAATTCAGTTTAACCCAAACATGTAGTTAGAAAAAGGAGAAGTAGTTTAGTAATTTTTTCTCATAGTTGTAGGTATTCTTCTTTGATCCTACACCAGAACTCTGCAGATGATATTTTCTTAAACTTTGTTTGTAATGTGGAATCTGAAACTGTATCAATGAGCTTTTTGTGCTCTCTTATATTAAAATCTATTGGTCTGTGTTGTACTTTGAAAGAGTATTTAACCCATTTGTGGCATGAATTGACCATTTGTTAAATGTTGCTTCCCTGAATTATACAGATCCTCCAAAATAGACACATTCGATGTCCACTATCAAAAATTATATTTAAAAATATTCCTACTTATGTTGGAAAAATCTTTAAGCATTGGGAAGCTGTCAGGCTCACAGAAGTAGAAACAAGTTTCCTAAAATTCTAATTTGCACTTTGAAAGCTTGAATTTTATCTTTGACAGGTTTTTTTTTTGCCTTGAAGTGCCAGGCTCACTTCTTTTTTGAGAAATTTTCTGCCAGATACCCAAGTCAGAATAACAGTAGTTTGCCCGTAATTCTTCCAAGTAAAAATTATATTCTGTGAAAAAGACAGCTAGTTTAGCTTGCAACTCAAACAGTTGTACAAATGCTTTTCCTTAAGCAATCTTTGTTTTTCAGATATGCCTCATGTGTACTTTCTGTTTTATCACACAAAATAGTAGACTTGTACTCAAAGGTTGAGAGCTTTTTTTTTTTCTTTTTCTTTTTTATTTTACTTTAAGTTCTTGGATACATGTGTTGAATGTACAGGTTTGTTACATACGTATACATGTGCCGTGATGGTTTGCTGCACCTATCAATCCATCATCTAGGTTTTAAGCCCTGTATACATTAGATGTTTGTCCTAATGCTCTCCCTCCCCTTTCCTTCGACCCCCTAAGAGGCCCCAGTGTGTGATGTTTCCCTCCCTGTGTCCATGTGTTTTCATTGTCGACTCCCATTTATGAGTGGAACATGTGATATTTGGTTTTCTGTTCCTGTGTTAGTTTGCTGAGGATGTCCAGTTTCATCCATGTCCCTTCAAAGGACATGAACTCACTCCTTTTTATGGCTGCTTAGTATTCCATGGCGTATACGTGCTACATTTTCTTTCTCCAGTCTATTATTGATGGGCATTTGGTTTGGTTCCAAGTCTTTGCTATTGAGAGCTTTAAAAATTATTCTTACTACTTTGTCAAGGACATTCTTAAGTGAAAGTATATTTTTAACTATGCATGGTGGTGAAGAATACAGTGACTCTTAGTACAGTTTGGTGTTACCGTCCTGATTCATGTTTATAAGGCACCAGCATTTTTGCCCACCATTGCTCCTGTATCATCAGTACAGATAGTATTGTTATGAAAATAGTTTTGATTTTAGGACTCCATGGAAGGATATCAGGAACCCCAGGGCTCTGCAGTCCACACTTTGAGAACAGGTGAGCTCATCAAGCAGTACCTTGATCCCCATTCTTTCTCTGTCTTTTGAAACCCACCCCTTCCAGGGTTAGGTATCCCCCTCCTTTTCTTTATGCATATTGAGCTCCATTCTAATAGAATGCATTTTTTTCCCTCACCCTTTGCCTTTTTGTTTGTTTCTCTGCCTAGACTATTTTTGTCTCTGTTACCTTTTCTTAAAATCTTGTTTTTCCTTCTAGTGCCAGCTTAAGTTTTTTTCTTCCATGATTTCTGCTTTCAGGTGGAAATCATTCTTACCTTTCTAAGTTCTCTTCACACTTCATTCACATCTCCTTTATAGCACATATAGCTTATTTTAGAGGGTTATTTTTTTGGAGGGGAGGTGGAGGGTAGAGTCTTCCACTAAAAGCAGATGACTGTGTCTTGTTCATCCTGTGGTACTTTATAATACTTGAACAGATTCTGTGAATTATTACAGATGGAGTGAAATAATTTTTTCAGCAAATATTTGGCTGCTACTGTACATCAAGCATCATTAGAAACACTGTGCATACAGTTGTGAGCAAGGCTGACATTGTTCCTGTTTTCGTGGTACTTACTTTCTGTTACAAACGCATTCTACCTTTGTAGATGTTAATTGACAGCATGAGTAAATTCAGTGATTTCTAGTGCCTTTGGGATTTATTTAGGCCAGAGGAGCCTTTGAGAAACAATCATTAAGTCAGAGTAGCTGTTATTCATCAGTCCCAACTAATCAGTTAACTCGGTGAGAGAATTGCAAACATTAAGGCTGCATATAACACTGAATTTATAGTCTTAACTTTCTATATCCAAGTATCATGTGACATGGCCTGTTAACTTACATTTCTTTTTTGTTGGGGTTGCATCTGGTTATGTTAGTTTTTGAACAAAGGAGAGAGGAGCCTTGAAGATGGGATGTTTAAAGATTCTGTAGCAGTATTTTCTACATACAGCTTCTGTCATTTTTTATATTTATGTGACTAGTATGATTCTAGCAAAGATGTTTTTAGTGTATATCTGTGTGAGAAGGGTTTTATTTTAAGGCTTTGGACTTTTTTGTTCCCTCTTTCAGGCATTGACAAAGGATCCCCAGGATTACCCTGATAAAAAAAGCCTACCTCATGTACATGTTGCCCTCTGGATAAATTCTCAAGGAGGCAGAAAGGTGAAAGCTGGAGATACTGTGTCATATGTCATCTGTCAGGTAAACTATTGACATTCATAAGACTCTGATACCTCTTAAGAACTGGAAGTAAAATCCAGATTGCCAGTGTCTTATTTAGTATTCTTCCCAATAATTAACTTTGTGAAGTCTGGTTGCTTTTATAGCATTTAAAAAACATTAGTTAGAGGTGTAGCATATGTCATTAGGATTTTCATAAAACGTTTATGACAAGTTTATAGCGGTAGCTAGTCTTTTAACCCTAAATTAACTTTAATGCAAATGTAAGTTTCATCAGATGTTCAGCAGTAGTCCTCCTTTATCATTCCTTTTGCAACAGTTCCCATTATAGATATCAGTGAAATAATAAAAGAATAAACATCATTTTCCTAGCAAATGTCCAAATAATTATGTTAAAAAATATGGAGTACATGATTATATGCAGAAGTTGAGAGATTCTATAAACATACCCTATGAGGAAAATACACAGTTCAACCAGTTTTTTTTTTTTTTTTCCTTCCTTCGAGTGGAGAAGGCCCACCTCCTTACCCTTCTCCCTGTTTCACAAGGCACCTCTAGGCCTTCTGGAACAGTTTTAAACCACTACCAGTTCTTTTGATAATAGCATGCCTATAATGGATGAGGAGAGAGAGTAAGAGAGAAGAGCAGGTTTTTGACTTTCGAAGCCCTTAACTCCAGTTTTAACAAAGGAGAGGTCTCATTCCTTCTCTCTGTAAAAATAACTCAGGGTCATAGCATTTATCCAAATTCTTTCATATTACTATGGTATATACTACTTAACACAAGGTATAATTTATCTAAGACTGTTTTTTTTTTTTTTTAATTTTTATTTATTTATTTTTTTTGAGACGGAGTTTCACTCATGTTACCCAGGCTGGAGTGCAATGGCGCGATCTCGGCTCACCGCAACCTCCGCCTCCTGGGTTCAGGCAATTCTCCTGCCTCAGCATCCTGAGTAGCTGGGATTACAGGCACGCACCACCATGCCCAGCTAATTTTTTTTTGTATTTTTGGTAGAGACGGGGTTTCACCATGTTGACCAGGATGGTCTCGATCTCTTGACCTCGTGATCCACCCGCCTCGGCCTCCCAAAGTGCTGGGATTACAGGCTTGAGCCACCGTGCCCGGCCAAGACTGTTTTTTAAAAAAATTAAGAATTTTATCCTAATTGTTATTGCATTATGTTGTTAGAGTAAAATTTTTTACATAAATCTAAAAATTAGTTGCAATATGATTGATATTTGTCAAACCACAGTCAGTATGTTTTTAAATCAGAGTCTTTTGAAAATTTAAAAGTAGTCTGCTGATATCTGCTATATGCCGTGGATGATGTACATAACAAATGATTTAAGTACATGGACAGGAATCAGCACTTGACTCTGTCTCCCCCCTAGGGTTACCCTTGATTAAGAACTGTTACAGAAAGCCAATTCCTGCAGGAAAATATTTCCATAAATGTCTGACTTGCTCAAGCCCTTAATGTGCTTTGCATATTGCCTCTGACAAGTCTCATCTCAAAAAAACAATTTTCATATTATGCAAATAAAGATTTTGGTAAATAGGCTAGGTTTTTTTTTCCACTTACGTCTTCACATACATGGAAAAGCTCTTAGATTGGTAATGACAAGAACAGATGACAGCATACAACTTTGAAAAATTATATAGGTTCAGTGAAATAGCATCTAATAATGAAATCAAGCCACAATTATGTTTTGGCTAAACCTGCAATGAAAATGTATGGTAACTTATAAAATAGGATGATCATTGTATTGAAAAGTCAGTTTTGTGTTCCTTGATGTCTGAATGTTAGGTCTTAAGGTTTCTTTTTCTCAGGTCTTATTAATATACATAGGCTCAAAATGCGATTGCTAATGTAGTACAGTACATCCAATTTTATGTATTTTTAGCATTTTCTATCCACTGGTTTGGGTCTTATTTGCTTTTTAAAAGTATGATTCATTCTTGTTTTTATTAGCTTATTCTCCTTAACATATCCCAAGAAAACCTACAGGACTCCCATTTGCCTTTGTACCCTACCCATGGGACATGCCCCCTTTCAACCTGTTTGCTAGCCAAATCTACCTACCTTTTTTGCTTTTAAGCACTCAGATTATTCTGTGTTTCATAACACAACCATAGTTTTAGAATATGCTTTTGAAAATGAATCATGACACTTTTTTTTTTTTTTTTTTTTTTTTTTTTTTTTTTTTTTGAGACGGAGTCTCGCTGTGTTGCCCAGGTTGGAGTGCCATCTCAGCTCACTTCAACCTCCGCCTCCTGGGTTCAAGTGATTCTCCTGCCTCAGCCTCCCAAGTAGCTGGGATTACAGGTACACGCCACCATACCTGGCCAATATTTTTGTATTTTTAGTAGAAATGGGGTTTCACCATGTTGACCAGTCTGGTCTCAAACTCCTGACCTCAGGTGATCCTCCTGCCTCAGTCTACCAAAGTGCTGGGGCTGGGATTACAGGCGTGAGTCACTGTGCCCGGCCCATTATGACACATTTTTAAGAGGACTGTTTGCTGCCTTAAGCAAGGGTGTCCTCCAAGAATAGCCTATATCCTAAACAGGTTTTGTTTTGTTTAAAATTTACATTTAGGAAATAGTGCCCTGTTCAGATTACAAATTCAGATGAGTTCAGAGAGTAATGTTTTTGGAATCTAATTTATATTGTAGGTTGTTATCGTGTTAAACCTATGTAAATTATTTGCTCAGATCTTAAATCAACTTCCATTTGTTGGCTAAGTTTTAAATCCTTAACTATTTAACTTTCATTAGACTTAATTTCCAGAAGACAAGACCTTAGCATAATTGTTTTAAGGGGCCCACTTGTCTCCAGTTCAAAATTTTTTCCCATTAGTTTCTTACTAACGATGACTACCTAGTTTTGTATGAATCGACTGCACCTGGCTTTCTCTCTGAATTATGCACTTTGTGAAGTTCACAAATTACTACATGGGCACTTGAAGAAGATCAGCATTGCTTCTTAATCTGTTCTTAAAAGTGTATGCCACACATTCTTGTATATACCATGGGGTCTGCTCAGATTTTAGAATGAAGTCTTTGAAGGTTTTTTTTTTTTTTAATTTTGAGACAGGGTCTTGCTCTGTCACTCAGGCCAGAGTACAGTGGCATGACCACAGCTCAATGCAGCTTCTATATTCTAGGCTCAAGCAATTCTCCACCCTAGCCTCCTGAGTAGCTAGGACCACAGATGCACACCTCCACGCCCAGCTAACTTTTTTTTTTTTTTTTTTTTTTAAGAGATGGGGGGGGGTGGTCTCAGTATGTTGCCCAAGTTAGTCTTGAACTCCTGGGTTCAAGCGATCCTTCTGCCTCAGCCTCTCCAAGTACTAGGATTACAGACAAGAGCCACGCTGTCCAGCAGAAGGATGTATCTTGGATCATAGCCTAATTGTTTTTCCAATATAACATAGTAAAACCTGTCATCTAACCAAGTCTTTTGAATTTAGCCATGTTCAAACTTAAATTTTTAAAATACTCTGAATATGTTAGTGCCACTTTTTGTTAAAACTTGTCTTTTGTGTAAATATTTAAAATAAAAACATTTTAAACTGAAAGTATGCTCAGAAATTTTCAACTGATTTTTTGAAAACCATGTCTTACTATGAGAACTTCTAATTACATATTCAAAAGTAACTCAAGTGCCTTTAAAAAAATATTTTACATCTACAAATTCAATTTTAATTCACCATTAAAAATTATTAAACTCAACATTGCTATAATCTTAAGGGTAGATCAATTTTTTTATAATTCTGTAAATTGGTCAGATTTTATTAAGGCAGTGTAAATACAGTTGAGTTGTGTGAAAAGACACTGCCCAAGGATTTTTTTCTCATGGTTTTTATCATCAACTATCACCTTATTATCATTGTAACAATTCAGGCTTCTAAAAGAGCAACAATTAAACTTGATTAATTATGCCTAATTCCTTTTACTATGTTGTAAACTCCTGACAAATAATAAGAAGCAAGTCATTTAATCTGAGTTTGCTGCTTTCTTAGGTATTTCATTTTGTCATTGAACAGGTAGAATCTAGTTGTTAAACAGGCGCAGGTTGTTTCCATTAGGAGACAAGCCAGAAAAGGAGCCCCTGCCACTGGACTCTGGTAAAGACAGTGGTGTGTGGAAGGTTGCCTCTGCCTTAGGCTGGGTGCTGAGCTGGAAAGGGACTGATTGTAGCAGGAATGAAAGAATGGGATTCACATTATAATCAGTTCTGCTGAGCAGCTGAGCACTGTGAATAGTTATAATTTACTAGTTTGAATATTAAATTCTGTTTCAGATGAGCGGAAGAGTGAGTGAGTTGTTGGATGTTGATCCAGTAGAGATAACTTTTTGGTTCACAGATGATAGTGACATCATTCACAAGGCTGGATATGGGCCAATTATATATAATTTCACAGCTTTTATTTTTATAGTGTAAAAGAGAAAACCCTTGAAAAGAGGCTTTCTGACCCATCTTCCTTTTCTTTAGGAGGAATCAGGTAAATGGTACAAAATGACATGCCCTTCATTCCAGTGGCCAGATATTTGGCTTTTAGAGCCCGGCAACTCTATCAGGACACTACATTATTTTACTTCTGCTTAGTATATCTTGCATATAAATTACTACTCTATAGGTTTCATTTCCCCACATTTTTACCCTTGTTTCTTTGCTTCTCAGTGATACATGGCTGTCATAGAAAACATTACTCCCAGATCTTTGAGATACTTTGACTAGAATTCTTGCCTGAAGGGATCACATTAAATTAACCACCTCCTGGGTTTAAGCGATTCTCCTGCCTCAGCCTCCTGAGTAGCTGGGACTACAGGTGCCCGCCACCATGCCTGGCTAATTTTTGTATTTTTAGTAGAGACAGGGTTTCACCACGTTGGCCAGGCTGGTCTTGAACTCCTGACCTCAGGTGATCCACCTGCCTCGGCTTCCCAAAGTGCTGGGATTACAGGCATGAGCCACCATGCCCGGCCCACATGTTTTTAAATGATCACTCCTTAAAAAGCCTTTCTGACTACACTAATTGTTACCAAGCTTTCTCAGTGTGTGGTGATACGGCAGGTGAAATTTTTTAATGTAGTCATTACTATCTTGTTGGTTTCAAGTTTTGGCAAAAAATAGAACTCAACATATACTGGATTTATATTCTTGTACACTGGATGAGATCTTAAGATTGAGATGTTGTCCTTGATTTTCCTATTCAAAATATTCAGTAATAGGTCAAAAAGACATCTTTATGTTTAGAAGTAAATACATAAAATTTAAATTGTTGCCTCTCTGACCAAGCAAGCGTCTGTGATTAAGTTGCTTACAACTTTACCTGTGTCTTCTTTTTACATGTGTCTTTTTATCATACCTTCTTTTAGGATGGATCAAACCTCACTGCAAGTCAGAGGGCCTATGCGCCTGAGCAGCTGCAGAAACAGGATAATCTAACTATTGACACCCAGTACTACCTGGCCCAGCAGATCCACCCAGTCGTGGCTCGGATCTGTGAACCAATAGACGGAATTGATGCTGTCCTCATTGCAACGTGGTTAGGTAAGTGTCCCAAGCTCACACAGAGCCTCATGTGGTAACAGCAGCACATACAGTCTTCCTTTTCTCTTGGGATCTCCATTTATGGGCATGGTATTGTGTCTGGCAATTCTTTGTTTCTAGTTTGGAACGTATTTTTGTGGTTGTTTGGTACTGTCTCCACTCATAGACTGTGAGCTTCACATACTTGGGACTGTAACCACATGCCTGCTCCATAGTTGGCACTCACTGCATACTGAGGGAAGAGAGGGAAGGCAACAGAAAGGGTGAAGTGAAGATTTCAGGTGCCTTTACAGTCATTGGGTTTATATTGTTAGAGGTTTAATTAGTATATCTCCATTAATAAGGAGATTGATGGTATCTTGCTTATTGGTTCATCTCGTCTCTGTTGCTGAAGGTATTTTCATGTCAAGTGAGAAAACGTGGCTTCTTAACATAAAATTTTAATAATTTTTCATATTCAGTTCATTGTGAGTATCCTACTCTCTAAGTTCTTCTAAAACTGGACCCGCTGTTATCCTCTAGGAATTGGCTAATTTCTAAATTCTTGTCATCGCAGGAGGTGCCAGACAACCCTGAGACCTCAGTATTTCTTTGACTTTTTGCTGTGTCACCAGACTGTCTCCATTGCTATGACATCATTACTATTGTCATCTTTTGTTTAGAAATATATTTCATAAGCAGCCCTGATTTCATTTTTAGATGACCAATACAAAAGAGTTACATTGCTTTTAAGGTCTTTCCTGGCCGGGCACGGTGGCTCACGCCTATAATCCCAGCACTTTGGGAGGCCGAGGCAGGTGGATCACGAGGTCAAGAGATCGAGACCATCCTAGTCAACATGGTGAAACCTCGTCTCTGCTAAAAATACAAAAATTAGCTGGGCATGGTGGTGCATGCCTGTAGTCCCAGCTACTCAGGAGGCTGAGGCAGGAGAATTGCTTGAACCTGGGAAGCCGAGGTTGTGGTGAGCTGAGATCCTGCTGTTGCACTCCAGCCTGGGTAACAAGAGCGAAACTCCATCTCAAAAAAAAAGGTCTTTCCTCTCTCTCCTGTGATAAGCAAAGATAAGTGTTTTCAGATTACTGCCTAATGTCCTGAGATGGCTCTTCACTGTTTATAAGTCAAGCCCAGGTGCCACTGGCATCTCACAGACTAATTTTGGCAATTACAGACTAACTTTCCAGCTCCCACCTATGTATCCAGTCTTATTCAGTCTATGCAGTGTTTCCCAAATATGGCACTGCCCATTCTGTTCCCACTTCATGGAAAATTCTCCCCCTCTTTTACTAAAACACCTAGCTTTAGCTATGGGCTTTGGCAGCATAGTGACCTGGGTTTCAATGCTGGTTCTGCTATTGACAAGCTTGTGAACCTTGGTCTACACCTTAGCTTCTTGAGTCATAGAGTTACCTTGAGGGAGAAATAAGATGATGTGTGTGAGATGTTACACTCAAGGCCTGGGGCAAAGGAAATGCTCTGTGAGTGGTAGCCACCTCCCACCTTTCTTTTAGGCTTCAGTGGAAATATGTTCCTACTCCTTCAGTCTGTAGGATTTGCTATACTTAGTGTTCAACTGCATTTGTAGAATGAGATTGGGTTTTCCATGGATGAATTATCAAGTCACATATTTTCCGTCCTGCCAGTGTTGAGTATGTTTCAGAGCTCCTCGCTGCTACCCCCATCGTCACTACCCGATCAGTGTTTACTCTGGAAGTGGAAGCTCATTTTTAACATTTGCCTAAGCAAATATTATTAGGAAGATAAAATTCTACCACCAAAATAATCATATAATGTATTCTGCAAGATGAGTTGTATTTAATGATGTTTATAAATCCTCAGCTGGGAAGAGAGGACTGTAAAAGCAAGGTATTTTTTAGCTTCATTTTTTTCTCTACTATACATTGAGTATTTACTCTGTTGGATACAGTGATAAGTACTTTGCATTTGTTATCTCGTTCAGTCCTTGTGACAACCTCACAAAGGTATGTCGTATTAGCTCCATTTTACAGAGGAAGAAGCTAGGTTTAGAGAGGTAATGATCTTGGTCTTGGCACATAGGTAGTAGATAGCAGGCTGTGATTTCAAAGGTTGTGATCCTAACCACTGTGCTAACCTTGATTGCCTGTTCTTAGCTCTGAAAGGCTATGAAAGATGTTTTCAATCAGGAGTGGGGTAGCTTGGATTTGCAAACACGGGGAGCTTCATGTTTTTCTTGCTCCCTCCATTTGCCACTGTACACCCCATGCTCTCCACTGAAAACCTCTGAGTTTAAAAAAAAAAAACAAAAACAAAAACCTAGTGTAGGTTGGGTGTGGTGGCTCATACCTGTAATCCCGGCACTTTGGGAGGCCCAAGCAGGTGGATCACGAGGTCAGGAATTCGAGACCAGCCTGACCAACAT